ACTGAAAGCCGCTTAAAAACTCATTTGCTTGTTGGGTCCACAATTTCAACTTCATGAAAATAAAAATCTGTTTTATAAACAAATCTTGAACTTTTAGGAGAAAAACTAAGATCTCAACTCAATCATTTGGCTTTAAGACGTTAAGCAAATTAAGAAAAAAAATCAAACTAGTTTTAGTATTACACAAAATTAGTATTCCATAGACATGAATTGAGTTACAAGTTGACATCTTAGATGTAGGTAAAAGGAAAACCTGATTAACAATTGAGTCTAGACCACCCTTGACCCCCTTCATTAACACCCGAGATCTTACTTTGATTTTTAAACAGCAGTACTGCCCAGAAATCAAAATTAACAAATTTAATGTGCTTCTGTGCTCACTATTCCAAGATAGGCTGAGAACATTTTTGAACAAGAAAGGAAAAATAAGAGACTATGGTGGCAAACATCCAATATACAGCCTGAGGTATAAGCTGTGGCATTTGTATTTGTGATTTCTTTTCCTTCAGCAACTCCAACAGAATCTGTTAACTACTGAACGCTTCCTACAAAGCTGGGCTGAAATGGAGGGCCTACCGAACAGGAAAGCAAGAATAACAGTTGGGTAAACTGTTATGTACTGACTCGTTCTTCGATTCAAGGCACTGGGCTCCTTTTAACCCTATGCTCCGGCGTAAAAAGAAACCAAGTTGTTAATTTTAGTCCCAGCAACTAAGCAATGACTACTTCAGAGAAGAACTGTATGAAAGAAACCCATTTCTAATACATCAGATGAAGACATTTCGAGACTAAACACCAGGTCTCACAGCTTTTGCAGGCATTGTGCTGGGCTTATAACTTCTTGCTACTGTGTAGGAAGTTCTCGCCTTTCTGCTGCTGCTCTCACTGTACTGCTATGTGACACAGACGCTGTGGTGTGATCAACTGTGTCACCTACTACAATTTCCTTTTAAGATCACAAGTTACCAATAAAACAAAACATAGGCTGAGGGGTCTAAAAAGAAGTTCTATCTTTTCCTTTTAAACCTTAACCTATAATTCTTAAAGCAAAGAAAGAAATATGGAAAACAGCCTCTAAATCTAGATTGCTAACATCTACCAAATGAGGGGGTCAAAGTTGTTTGTTTGTTTGTTTGTTTTTTTCCAGTGCAATTGGATCTTTCTAAATTAGAGAAAGAATTTTTCAAAAAGTTGCCAATATCTGTTTTTTAAATAAATCTTTTGATGAAGTGACAACACATGAGATGGTTGAACTAAAAAATACATGACTTTACATAGGAAAATACACATCTCTGAATAACATTTTAGTTATTTAGGTTGACTATCAGATTTTATTAAAATCTCATGGAGCGGGAAATCTCAAAACACTTATTATGCTTCACAATTATTGTAAACCAAACAATTTAAATGAGAGAAGGAGATAATGACATTAACTTTTTAACTTAAAGCAATCCTCTGCGGCCTGATTTTAAAATATTCTCTTGGTCTGAAATTTATGTAAATTGAATTCATCTATCATTGGTTATTACCAGCCTAGCTACATTTAAAAAAAAAAAAACAGTTTTCTGTAACAATTAGTTCTTAAAAACACTGTGTTTTAATTAGACCTGGGACATTATTAAACTCACTATAAATATGTACGGTGTTTTATTTGGTATACCCAGATGTCTGAAAATCAACAAGAATGTCCTCAGAGTTCTTTCTTTAAAAATTCTTCTAATAAAAACCTTTCATTCAAAAATGTAATGTAATCTGAAATAAAGACCCTTTATGGATTTCATTAGGTAAAGACAAAGGAATAGCCCCTGATAACCAGAGAATAATCAGAGACTTATTTCAGAACTCTTAGATAACCCGTCCCTTCATCCTATGGATGGCCAAGGTCGCGCCAGAAAATTCCTGGGTAAGCTTATGCAAAACCCAATTGGTAATGCGTGTTTCCTACACAGGTGATGCATGTTTCCTACACAAGTGATTCTGTTTAATCCTCACAACTTTATAGTTTAATCCTCATCACAACTGTCACTATCCCATTTTACATATAGGGGAGGTCATGTGGTTAGATTAGCAGTCAGTCGATTAAGGAGTCAAGCATGACTCCAGAAACTACTACTTCCTATAACCGTAAATTTTAAGGATTTGTAGGTATTTTCCACTTATATAGAAATTTTCCTCATAAGATGAATAACAATTCCTCTTTAAGAATAACAAAAATACCCACAAAGGCTATCATTGGAATTTTCCTCTTCTCAAATAGTCTTCTTCCCAAGTCTAACTCAAATTCTATCTTCTCCCTTAATCATTTTCAAAGCATTTGACTGAGATGGAATCTCTTTCTTTAAATTCCTGACAACTGCCATACACTGCGCATATGCAGAAAGTGCTAGCTGCCTCTCAATACCCATGTTCTTCCTTGGTAACAGAAATCCAATCATTAGCTCTTAACACATTGCCACATATCCCAATCTCTCCAGAGGTTAGATGTGATCATATGACTAAGTTCTGTAAGATATTACTGCAAGCATGATGTTGGACTTCCAGGAAGGCTGTTTAAAGAAAAGAGACCTAGCTGTTCAGTGAGTTCTTTGGTCCTTCCCCAAGGTGAAGACTTCGCCATACAGGTATCTTTAGGCTGGAGCTCCAGCAACTATCTTGGACCATGAGGCAAGCTTGAGGAAGGAAGCTCCACACTACAAATGGATTCTTGGTGTACAATGATACCAAAAAGCCACTACTCTATACCTGAAGAGACTACCACCAGATTTTACAAAGTAGAGGGGAAAAAAATCTTTGTCTTCTGTAAGTCACTATAATTTAGTATGCTTTTTTTTTCTATTAAATAAGCTGAACCTAATTCTAACTGACTTAGTTCAGACTTATATATGTTTCATAAGCCAGGATTTGTTGTAACAATGGTGAAGGAGAAAGGAGAAAAAAAATGAATTATTTCTCTTATAACAATAGAGCACACATTTTATTCTCAAACCCTCTATGGTAATTTTCAATTTTGGGAAAGATAAAGGAGGACACTAAAAGATGAAGAAAGACACTTCTGCCTCACTGCCATTCCTCAAGCCATTCCCCTCCTCTCTTCTCTGTTGCTTAAGCACTATCATACTTCAAAGTTCCACTTCAGAAATTGCCTCTTTCCACCCCTGAATTCAGAGTGCGTATTTCCTATGCCATCTGACGTCACATGTCATCTAGTTACACCTCTGATTGAATTGTTAACTATTACATTGCATTTGTTTTTCTATGTGTCATCTCCACATAGAATACAGCAGAGGTCATGTCCTCTTTCTTTGGCCTCTCCCAGTGACTAGAAAACTACCTCTGTATGGCATGAGACCAATACATACTTTTGGGTGATTAACTCCCTTAAGAAATTATAGACAGGAAAAAGAGGAGAGAATAAAGGATCAAGAATGTACAGCTTCTTCAAGTGAAAGAGAACAATAAAAATCCTAAAGAACTCCTAGAACAAGTTTTATTTCACCGACCTCATCACAGAATTGGGCCTGGAAGAACAAATGTCTGTTATGATATGTTCATGTTCATAGAATCAATGCAAAGTTCAAAGAATAGCTAGTAAACTTGTCAATCAATTAAAGGACATATTTTGCCACGGTTATTCAGAAAATTGCCAGAACCTTATTTTCTCAATTGCCTTACACATTTTAAGAGTAAGAGCCAACTCAAACTATACTTTGATAGTAGAGATGTATGATTCTAAACCGTACCAAGAAACTGGTTCCTAGTAAGATCATATTTCATAGATGTTTTTCTGTCGATTATGACAACATATAGAAAATAATGCTTGGACACATAAAATACAGACCTAACAAAATACTACTAGTCTAAAATGAGTAACTCGAGGGGTCATTTTCATTTTACTTTATAACCTTGCTTCTAAAACTCAATGATAATATAACATTAGGAGTAACACTTTTTTTAAAAATAAGATAAACTAAGGATACATTTTGCAAAAGCTGCATTAGTAAAAGCTTTTTAACAATGGGACATTAAAATCTATATACTACTATGCAGATTTGACACATGTAACATGCTTAAAAGCTTCAACTACATTAGAATACATATAACACAAAATAACACTTCAACCAGAAGTAATCGATATTTCACCTAAGTTCATGAATCAGCTTACATCACAATGATTTTATTCTCAATTATTTGTAAAGCACGGTATACTAATTATTTGTTAAATGAGTACACACCTAAAAACACAATATTCTATTTTATTCTCGTAAATGTAGTAAATTTTAGGGTATAAATAAAAATTCAATTAATGGAAAACTCCAATTCTTTCTCATTCTTTTAAAACACAATCAAATGTTTATTACATTGTATATTTAAATATTATTCACAATGTTAAAATAGTACTTTCTTTAGAATCATATTGTTTCCATTTAGGAAAGTTAAACAAATTTTTAATGCTTTTATAAACAATTTATAGTTGATATGTCAAAGAAAGCATCACATTTGGTTGCAAATTACTCATTTCCTCATTCTAAATTTTTTTCACACAGATTTCTCCAAAATGTCCAAGACAGTAGCTTCTTTGACAGTGAAATGTACAAAATAAATGACATGTCAACAAGTAAATTAGCATTCCCTTTCCGACCAGCTGGGTCATGTTTCCTTTTCAAAATCCTGAGCCCTGTAATATATAATAATAATAATCTAAAGACCTCATTAGATGATCAATATATTGACATAATCTCTATAAGGAGAGATGTCATAGTTTAATGGATTCTTTGAATCCATTAAATGAAATATTTGACCCAAGCCTCTAAATTATATTATAAGAGGACATTTCCTTTATTTAATAACTAATTTTCTTCAGGGTATATATGATGGACACATGAAAAAATTCAAGAACTTCTATATTTAAACAAACAGTAAAATAAGTCCAATTTCCATTATGTCTTTCAGAAAACACAACAAAAGTTATAACAGATAAGTTTTAAACTATGTTTACTTACCAAAAAACTTCCAAAGGCTGAATTAAATATTGCAGCTGCCTAGAGAAAAAATAAATGAGGAAAAACAACTCATTGAAAGTAAATAAGAAAAGGAAAAGCAAAGATTCTCATCCTCCCATCCCCCACTATTGAAAATCTTTCAACATTGACTCTATAAAGCAAAGTTAGTCCCTGCTTACAAAAACTGCCAGTGGCCTGTAGATCACCAAGATAGATGAGCTGCTGCTTAGGAATTCATAAATAATGGGTCTCAAAAGCAAGCAGAAAAAGCTTGCCATGAGATGCTTTGCACCTATATGATCGTATTAAAGACCCATCACCAACAGTAAATAGAAACCTGCTATTCTGATTTTGCTATTAGACTTAAAATAATCAGGTTAATCCATTCATCAAACCAAATTTACATTACTAGGAAAAGGGAAATCAGAATTGCAAAGCAAGCATTAGCTACTCTACCAAGAAGCATAAGTCCAGTAAGTCAGAGCCTCAAGGTGAGAACTGTGGTTCTCAAACAACACACATTAGGGACAAAGATGTTAAGATCATGGAAGTTTCTGCCATACCATTAATTCCAAAATAGAAACAAGCCAGAGAAACTTCCATTTGGTGTTCAAAACTCAAAGAAGAAATATTTGACTTTGTGCTTACCTAAATATCCAGGGAATACACAGTAGATATAATATAGCTCTTAACTTTAACTCAACCACTATATTCCATGAAGCTATACCTGAATCCTGAAAGCTTCTTTATTACCCAAAGAGGACAAAACTTGCATAGCATCCAATTTCATGAAAGAAAAAAAAATCATAAAAGGCAAAAGGAAGAAGTAGAGAAACCTATTGACATCTACTGTAGATCCAGAGCAGAATTAAATTAATCATCATGGACATTAGCAGCCACATCGCAGTAAGAGGAGGATGTCAGTTAGCGAGTTTGAATAAAGTCCAAAGCCAAGCTAAGAACTGTAGCTGAAAATGCCTTCTGCTCCAGAAGAGGATGCAATGAGAGTGCATGGGTAATGAGATCCTTGGCTCCAGAGAGCTGCGCTCTCCTATTCAAGTTCATAATTAATTCAAAGCTTTGATAATTTCATTAGATTTCTCCTTTGCTGGCCCTATCAATAAAAGATGGCACTGGACCACAGGTCCTCTGTGGCACAAACACAGACGCAGGCACAGACTGGGGAAACCTTTGCTTCCTGACAGGGACAATGGCATATGGTGTTTTGTGTTGAACAGGGAGCAGTGGAAAAAAAAAATTTTTGAGCTAAATAAAACATTAAGTTGTCAATCGCAAACTACAGCCACATATTTATCACATCTTCCTGGAATTCCAAAGTGGATGATTCTGGAAAAGGTTTACTGTATAGAGAAAAACAGGGTCAATAAATGAGCTGTGCTGATACCACTGCTTTGCCTTCCTTCCTACAACATACACTGCCTACCAACAAAGTTTGTATCTATACCCTACTTTGTGCTTAAAATGGGCTAATCTTTCTTTTTGGTGAAGGAATAATGCCTTTCCTTGGTGCTCTTCTCAAATTCATTTCTTTCCAGTGTCTCTTACCGACTTCATACGAGGTAACAGATTGTCCAGCATTTTAAAGTTTTCATTCCAGAAGTAAACACACTCAGAAGTCAAAGTAAAATCAGTATGAGCTACTCGGGAGATCAAACTGGCATCTTTCTACCCCACCAGTTCTCTTATTTAACTCAAACACAAGTGATAATGTTCATCGGGATGACTGTGTTGTGGGCTTTATAAGAGCGATGAAGGCAATGGGCCAAGTTATGATTTTCTGACAGTGGTGCTAGATTTGAACATTTTTTTTAATTAATTTATTTATACAAAACTGGGTACAAGCCAGAGGTGCAGGGGCGGTGAGAAAATTCACCAGAGATAGAGTGGGGAGCAAAACAGGCAGATCAAGGAAGTACACAGCTGAGGGGAGCAGCAGTGAGACAGGAGAGGTCTGCCGCGCCATGCAGATCACCTCGGGGGGCTGGGGATCGAACTTGCACTGAAGTGGCTGAAGATAGCTTGCAGTGCTGCGTCCTAACCTGCTGCACCACCAGGGAGGGCCCTGAACTCACTTTCTGACACCATCACCCAGTTTCCTGTGCAATGAGATCTGTCAATAATTTATAAGTGGCTGTTATGGCTCTGGACACAGGTTTCCTTCAGTATCAGAAAGGAAAAAGCATTACAAGGAAGTGATGGGCATAGACTGATGTGAGAGCAGGCTAAGCTAGGTTCAGTGAAAAAGCAAGTTGCATAACAGCATGGATGATTCCTCCAGTGTTTCCCCCCAATTACCAAGCAACTCTCCAACACCAGCTACATGTCCTACAATTTAATTCAATTCTGACACTATCTACCTGGAGAGAACATCAGTTCCTGCAGGTTAAGGGCTCACTCCCATGAGCCTGCTCTCCTCCCCACTTCAGATGCCAACTGAAAGGCCAGGTTTCAATTGGACTTCTGGTCGACCAGTGAGTTACCTGGCAATTCTCAAGACTCCCTCCTGGTTTTGGAGTCATTTGCTAAAGCAGATTACAGAACTTGGCCAAATAGTTTATTTACTAGATTTCTAATTTATTTAAAAGAGATGTTACTAGGGAAAAGCCAGATGGACGAGATACATAGTGCAAGGTATGTGGAAAGGTATGTTCTCTGTGCTCGAAATCCTATTTTGGGATTCTGATGGAGGCTTTCATTATATAAGCATGGCTAAATGAAATCATTGACCACAGGCGATTAAACTCAATTTCCAGCCCCTCTCCTGTCCTAGGAAGTCCAACCCTGAGGTGACAGAGTTGGTTCACCAGGCAGTCAGCCCCTATCCTGGGTTACCTAAGGGTTCTCCAAAGGTTGCCTCATTAATGCAGCAAAAGACATCTTTTTGCTCACTTAGCAATAAGATACCAAGAATTTTAGGATTTAGGACCAAATATGCATTTATTATTATAAACTATGACATCACATTTCTATTGTGCAATTATATACACACACACAGAGAGATAAAAATAAAAACACACTATTTTTTCCTGAAAGGAGTCACTTAAAATTCCTAATTATGGTTAAATTTATTGAAAGGGTTTGGGTAAGGATCATTTTTATTTTGTATTTTGTTCTGTCTGTCCTGTTTGATGTTTTATGTTTAACATGTTACTAGTCTGTATTTTGCAAGGGTTATCTGGACAGGAATGTGTTGAGTCACTTTATCACTGGCATTTTGAATTCTTTTGTTTTAAAAAGAAAATCTTTATTTTCAAGTAAGCTTTCCTGCTCTGCATGCTGTGATGCCTCTTCTACTGGCTGATAAATTGGAGCGGAGTGCCTCTGCGAACATCTTTGTGCAGTGGCAGAAGCCCAGGAAGACAGGAGGGCCTGGAACATCTGATTATTTGGCTTTGAAAACAAACAAACAAATCTATTACTATTTTTGTATAAAACAAACATGCTTTTGGAGAATGCAAAGGCAAGTGTGTTGAGCGACTGACACCAAAGACAACTTGTTCTGAAGGCAGGAATCCTTAGATTTTAGGACTAAACTCTCTTGGATTTCCTCCCCTCTGCTTTCTGGAAGCCACACTGACAGAGTTTGATTTTCAAATAGAACATTTCCTTGTTCTAACTTTGAGAGAAACCGTAGTGGCACGCACTCTTCCTCTGGAATGTTCCATTCCAACAAGAATTTCATCTGGTTTATCCAAAGTGATATCTGCAGTCCCTAGAACATCTTCCTGGTCTATAGTAAAACCGTAAAAAGCAGTGTTGACTCAAAGGATGAGGGAAGAGATGATCAAGTGAACACTCGCTCTGCTGAAGGAAAGTCCTGCCTAGGAATGTTTTCAATGTTCACTCATGAATCTCATCTGCAAAGTGTATACTTTGGTATAATCACATTTGATGGATAACTAGATCAATGCTAACAGAAAAAGGTCCACAGTGAATAGTTTTAAAACACTGAGTAGACAGTATGTACATTTTTATATTTATATTACACATTTTCACATATATGATGCTTTTGATATCAGCCCAATTTAATCAATGCATGATATATTAATATTTCATTATAAACTGTATGGCATGCCTTTGTTAAATTATTTTGGAAAATTAAGCACATTCAAGAATGAATTAATTTATTCATAACCTAACATTGTGTTATAAATAGGTAATTTTTTTTTTAAATAAACACAGGGAGCTCGTGAACTCATACAAGCAAGTTCTTCGACTGCTATGAAGTCTTCTGCCTTACTCAACCTGAGACCTTCCCCTTCTGTAGCTTCTGGGTACTGGAGTTTACATAACCATGTCTAATCCCTTCATGAATGAATCTTAAAGATATGAACATTGTGGGATCCCATCTAATTCTTCTTTTATAACAATACATATAAATCTCTCTCAGTGCTGGCTTAGCTCTGTTCTTTTTCCTTCCATCAGAGCGTGCCCTCTTCTGGCCCAACCTCCTCTATGTTTAAAATGTTCTCATTTGTGTAAATATAAAGAAAAAAGAAGTCTAGTTTTCTGCTTTAAAAACACAAGTTGGACCAAGTTTGACAAAGAAGAGAATTTGAAATTTAAGCTAAACTTCCCTGGATTATTTAATGCCAAAAGAATTAGTCCCGATTGCTAAAAGATGACTAGTTTTATAACCAAAGTGGCTGAAAACCATAAGACCATGCAGGCAATGAAGGAAGAAGATGGAAGGACCCGAAGCATGCCAGGACATATTTCATGTTTGTGATCTTCAATAACTATACAATGTTTGTTTAAAACAGAGAGCATTTGGCCTTCCCTGGTGGCGCAATGGGTCAAAGCACAGCACTATGAAGTGATCCAAAGTCACTATAGCATGAGTCCGATTCCTGGCCAGGGAGGTGACCCACATGACACAGCAGACCTCCCTTCACCCACCTGCTGCTCCCCTCAGCAGTGTATTCAGTACATCTGCCTGTTCTGCTCCCCACTCTGTCTCTGGTAGACCTTCTCACTCCCTGCACCTCTGGCCTGGACCCTAGTTCGTGTATGCATAA